TTTCGGTTTCGTTTTTCGTGGACGTTATTTTGCCTGCCATCTCTTAGTTTGCCGATTCAATGGGGGTGCCAGGGGATGAGGACTGGGGCAACAGGGTCATATAAATTTTTGATGAGTAGTCATTATTAAATGCGAGTGATGTCAAGAGACGGTGGAGAAGAAGGCTAATCGGAGGGGAGAGGAATTGTGCCTGCAAAGACAGTTTAGTTTATTTCTTTCCAAAAAAATATATATTTATACATTTTATTTATGTGACAGCTGACAAGCGTTTCTGTCTCAACTTTTACTTTTATCAGCGAAAATGTTTATTTCCCTGTCTCGCCCTGAGACTTTTATTATTTATTTGGTTGAGTTTTTGCTACTTTTGGTTTTCCTTGTGTGTTTTCCCTGGAATTTCCTCTAGTTGTTATGGGTAATAAAAGAATTGAGGCAAGGCTTTCAATTAATTGTGATGTTGTGCCACGAATTGTTAGCAATTAATGAATGAAATGCGAGTCTATCAATTTTAGGGTTGTTACCACGAACTTTTCTGGGACTGCCTCCGTGTCTGCGTGGGCTTTGTGAGCACGTAATAATTTGTGTTCCATTTTATTTAGTTGTGCTAAGTGGACACACCTACGCTAATGGGACCTCTATAGTTTATAGAGGGATTAGTTTATTGAACTTTGAAGAGTTCTGTGAGACTTTGGCCTTAATTTACTAGCATATTTTTTATTTAAAAACTTGAAACTTAAAAATGTGTAGAGAATTTCCTACTACTAATATTTTTGAATTGAAAAATTATTAACTTTCTATCTAACTACTTAATAATTCTATGAAATCATGAAAAATCTATAGAGTTTCATGTCGCTTTAATACGAGTGACCTGTCCTAAATGATGTCATATTTGAAGCACTCATCGCACCCCCCATCTCTTGTCCAAATCAAGCGTCTCGCCTTTGATATGAAACTCAGTTGATTGGGCACATCAACACATTTGCCCAATCAATCTACTTCCCTTCTATTTCTGCCAGATTCCCTCCCTCTTCTGGCCAAATCAAGGGGCCGCCCAAAAGGTGTCCAAGATTGTTTTGACATTACTTTCAAATGTCAATCGCCTGTGATTTGATTTCTTCTTCTAAGGCTTTCATTGAGTTTAGCAAATTGAGTTTCAGGTGGCAGTTTGGGGTGGGAGATGCCTGAAAATGTTGGGTCAAATGCGATAAAAGTCGATAATACAATCGAATTTAATAAGGTATAAATGGGGATGGTGAACTCAAAGCTTTGGCTTGGGGTGGATTTTCCTCATATTGCTGGGCGGAATGCAGCGGAAAAGATAAAGACAGATTTGGGAGCTTTATTGTGAAAGAGGCTGGCAACAGGTTGTCAAGGAGAATATTGATTTTCGAAGCTTAGGATTTGCTATGCCTAATATTGAGTGCCTATTTAGTCATTTGATGTGCTTTCATAGCTTAAATAATATTTAAGCAAAATTGTAAATTAAATTGTAAAATTGGCCCTTACAAGCCAACCCAAATTGGGTTCAAATTAAACCAAACCTACACACCTGACTTCACATTGATAGGTTTCTCGCAAATCCTGAAAGCAGCTTAAAGACTGCCAAGGGTGAGATAAAGAAGACTCACTCTGGCTCAGGTCACACATCAATGGAGTTATTTAACAGTCAGCAGACAGCATTTATCGCTGTTCGATTTAACATAAATTTCAAGCAATTTTCCCTCGCCAAACACCTGTCGCTTTGCTGATGTTGCTGCCAGTGTCATGCAAATTCCAATAAACTAAAGTACCAACGTCGCGCCATTTTTGATAAAGAACAGAAGGAACATGGAGCGCGACAGCAGCCCCTCGGGGGTAGCTATTTTTTTGTTTTCTGTTTTTTTTATTCACATTTCTGGGAAGCTATAAAATTTTTATCATCATTACTTTGACATTTCCCTGACATTTCGCAGAAAGTAAAGAAAAGTACTCAGACCCAAAGTTCACCTCCACCTCTGCACTTTCCCGACACTCAACCCCCAAAAGCCTTTACACACTAGATGAGAGCCTCAGAACGTGGGCGTGGCTGGGGTTCCTGGTCCTGGGTTTGTCGGCGGCTTTCATTTCGTAAATGGCTGTGTGACCTTTTTCATACTCGACCAAAATTGATTTCCTGGACGATTTGTCAACCCCTTTTCGGCCGATACTAAGCTTATCAAGGCAGCAATTTTGCTAGCGCTACACAAATCTGAATTGTCGCTGACAAGGGTGTCGGCCCCAATTATGCATAAGCCTAACTACCCCGCCTATCTAAGCTGGAGAAGGTGTGGAGCCCGCCGCCGGACGCAAGACCCATTTCCGGGATCCAGGTTCACCGTAAAACCTGTTGTTGAAGTGACGGCCGTGGGTCGGCCGCTGCTGATGTCAGTTCTGGTTGGCACTTTCATTTTCAATTAGTTTACCCAAGTGGGCGTGTGATTTTCAACGCAGAATTTCACAAAAAAATATGGACAGTAAAGAAAAAATGAAGCCGCAAGAAATCTTAGTCGAATATCAGATACCCAGGATTATTAAGAGTAGTAAACGAAAGTATAATTATTATATTTTACTTGCTTTTTTTATAACTTTTTGTAGCTTGAAATCTCATAGAATTTAAAATTTATAAACCCTTCTAAATGCATGTAAATTCGATATACCCCACATTACCAGGTACAAGGAGGGAAGTGCTTTTGAAAAGGGTGAAAGTGAAGGCGTCGCCTAATGTTTTTTATTATTGTTATTACCAGAGCTGGGCTCTTTCTGGCCTTGCTGATAAGCTTAAATGTGTTTGGCGGACGGTGTTTCAATAAAACTTTATCATAATTGACGTTTTAATGGGGCTGGCAAAAAAAATAATAGCAAGAAATACACAATGTTCCCAGCATCCTGGCTTCCGGGTGGCCGCTGGATGTAATTTTATATTTATGAAACGGTCTGGAGAAAATAAAAGCGCTGAGAGGGCGTCATAAACAAGGCTGTCGTTGAAAGGTGCATAATGTGTGATAAGTATGCGTATATAAAAAATGCTCTGGGTTAGACACGGGTATCATAAGAGTACTTTTACAATGGCTTTTGTCTGGAACATTTATTTTAACTTTACATGAAATTATAATCTTTAAGGGTTTTATATATTCATAAATAGTTTAAAGTATAAAAGCTTTATTGGAACCATTAACCTGAAAGCCTTTTCACTCCCCGTTTAATGAATCACTTTTTGCTAATGAAATCCTTAAAAAAAGGTGTTAAATCAGTATTTGCTAATGAGAGGCATGAAAAAAGTGTTATACAAAAAATGTAAAAAATAATATTAATCAACTTTTGAATCTGTTAACTGAAAAAACATGTTGGCTCGCTGCGTAAGCTATCAAGGATCTTGCGATAATATCAACGGCATCCTGACCCGTGACTATGCAAAGGTTCGTATAAAAAAAGAGGCAAATAATGGAAATAAGTTAATTAGTCTATGGAAAGGAGGGACCTTCTGTATTGTTTTATTTTATTTAGTCTATGCAAAATGGAAAATGTTGCCTCATAAACAAAAGTATCTCAGAAAAGCGCCTGCACATGCATATGCCGCACAGTGGTTTGGTTTTCATAAAGAACCCTTGGAAGTTGTTGTAAAAGTCTGAACTACACTTTTTGGCTAAACGAAACACTGTGCACTGAGGGGAGTCTAGAGTCTATAAGCCAGAGTTGCCACAGTTGCCAGTGACACTGACATTTGCCCGGCTATTTCCCACTAGCAAGTTTTCAGATTATTGTTCAAAGTCCAATGCCAAAGCCAAAGCCCGAGCCTAAAGCCAGACAACAAAACCGACTGCAAAAAGTGAAAAACTTGCATAGGCCAAGTCCAAAGTCCTGGCGGCAGTCCATTGTATTACGTCTGCCTCTTTGAGATGTTAAGCCCGCTCGTAACTTGGCCGTGGCACCAAATGGAATACGGCTCTAAACAGTAAAGGACCACACCAGAACAGACCAGAAACAAAATGGAAAGGGAGCTAGACAAACAGAAGGCTGGCAAAAGATAGCAAAAGTACAATGCAAGATATTTTTATTGCCAACCAAGGCGGACTTAAAATGTGTCGCATGCATATGCAGGAAGGCAGCCCCCGAGTGGGTTTGGGGGATATGAGTGCCGCATTAGGATTACCAACTGGCAGGGGGCACAATAAAAACTATGTAAGGATGTGGCTAACGATGTGAGGGCAGCAAAGGTCTGCAAAGCTAATAATGTCAGGAAAAAAGGAAAGTTGTAATACCCTAAAGATCAGGGAAGCAAAAAGCAACAAACTTTGAGAAGAAGAGGAAATCATACATAAAGTTTTGGTTTTTCTTAGGATTTATTATTAAATTATATAAGTAAATTAAAAAGAGAAACCAAAATGTTGGAAAATGTCAAAGATATAGTCTTCGATTCAAGGGAGATTACATTTGAATTAGAAGGTTTCTGACCTAAAAAATCATATTTCCAAAAATGTTATGTCAATTCTAGTCTCTCTTCACTGACATAAAGCATCACAAGCTCTACTTACCCCGCCAAGAACTTATTCTTTTACGACATTATATCACAAAACTTGCATAGATAAAGATGATAGAATGGCCAAAGGATGGCGTCAAGCAAGAAAAGCTACTCAAAGGATATTGCGAAGGAAGAGAGATATAGTAATAGGATAAGTATAAGGCCACTAAAGCTGCCAAACAAATAAAAAGGATTTTTCGTTTAGCCAAAAGTGTAGCACAGATTTTCCTAACGACTTCCCAGGGCTCTTTTGGAAGGGAAAATGTCTTCAATTTTAATTTGTTTGCCCAACTCCTTGTGCATATGTTGCTGGTGGAAGGCTAATGATTTCCGGATAACCAAATTGTGCAGAGAATTTCAACTTGTGCTGCAGACAGGGACAGCTTGGGCATAATTACAACTTGAATGGGCTATTAGTCTGTCGCTTAGTAAACATTTAAATTCATATATTTTAATTCCATTTCAGATATACACAGACTGGGCAAACTACTACTTGGAACGCGCCAAATCAAAGCGAAAGGTCACAGATCTCTCTGCTGATTGCCGGGATGGCCTCCTGCTGGCCGAGGTCATTGAGGCGGTTACCAGCTTCAAGGTGCCCGATCTGGTCAAGAAGCCAAAGAATCAACAGCAAATGGTGAGTTTATAACACTTTATTTAATGCAAAATGTGTAGATTTATTTCGCTAGGTGGGGGGAAATAAAATTATGTTAATCAGAGTAAGGTTTAACTGCCCATAAATATGGCCAAGAAAGCTATTCAAGTCCTGGGTAATGTATGGATTAATAAATTTAAACCGAACTGCCATTTTGGCATTGGAAAAACGACCCTTAAGCAATGAATAGCTCGAATCCTTTGGCTGTCTCCCATTTTCCCCACTTATTGAGGCTCCCGCAGAAACGTGAAAAAATCCAACCGAGAGCATCATGAGTCACTCCTATTCTTCGCGTTAATTGTTCTTTACATGACAAAAAAGGCTGCCAGACCGAAGCCTGCATTATACGTCAAATGCAAATCCGGCTCAACGTGAAAATATTTCCGCAAATACACACACACACACACCACACTGCTTGGGTGTGTCGTGCATTGGAAGGTGGATCTGTCATTCGTACCACAGGGCGTATGGCGAACTTTTTCATCGGTGCTGCGGCGACTGTTCTGAAATTCAGTTACGAGTTGGAAAATGATGATTTCCGCCGTACTAAGCAATTTGGCGCCAGGTGGAAGTTGCTCCGCTTTTGATTGAATTGGAATGACGATGGTGGATCGGAAGCTGCAGTGGTTGCGCTGCACTCCACTGCATTTATTAAATTAAAATTAAAAAGCCAGCATGGCTAGGATTTTCTCGATGCCACAAATAGCCTTTTTTGGTAAAATTTTGAATCATTTTTTTTCTTTTACTATTCCGTCTGCTTCGTGCCAAGATTCCCAAATAAAGTCCTTGCTCCCGACGGTTTTGGTCGCTGCCTTGGCACATTTTCTTTCTTTTTTTTTTTTGCACCGAATCTGCGGCAAGTTCATTGCCGATATATAAACAGAGACAGAAGGCGGGTCCATGAAATAAAAATTTATTTTAACTTTGTCAGTTTTCGGTTAGTTGACGCTTTGCATTTTAAATAGTCAGCAGGGGACTGCGCGAGGAGCCAACAAGTGAAATGCCAGCAGACAAAGTCTTTGAGAAAATGATAAGCTCAGCTAAACGTGCGCCGTTGTGGCACGTGATGCAGCTAAATAAAAATAAAAAAAATAAAAACTGGGAAAAGCGAAAAACTGGAGAAAAAATAGCTGACAAATTGCCAGCGAAACTCGCCCAGAAAAGGAGGCGTGCCACTGCCGCGTTGACGTATGTGACATGGGCGCCAAATTGGGTTTATTTGAGATGAAGTAGAACCCCGAAAGCCATGCATTGCACTGCACATTTCCACACACACACACATATTATTGACGAGCAGGAGCCAGGACTAACAACTAAATTTGCCAATTTGGCTCACAAATATAGAGGAAAATATAAAAAAAACCGAAATGAGTTGATTGCATGCGAATGTTTGCTCTGCAGTAAAGTATGGATAAGGCTATAATTTTATGTCTGAAAATTTGTTGGATATCTCGAAAGGAAAGGTTCATTCAAATATTTGCATATTTGTTAAGAATATTTCGCCACCACAGATTTACATAAATATAAATGTAATACTCTGACCTAGGATACACTCTACCACCAAGCAAATACTTTATCTATCCGCCAAACTTGTACTGTCCCCTGGTGACTCCGCCCCAGTACTGTATTTGTACACTGACTCATAACAATGCCCATGCCTAGCCTCCTTTTATCACACTTTTCGTGTTTTCAATTGCAAAGCAAAGCAAACAAAGCATTGGGAAAACTCCCCATTTTCCAGGCAGAGCCTTTTTGTTGCTGGCCACAGACTTCTTTACGCTGCCTGCCGCTTTCATTTCCCCATTTGTTTTTCATATTTGCATGGCGAAATGAGAAATCTGCGCGCCACAACCCAAGTGCAACTCACAAAAAAAAGCCAAGGAAATTGTGAAGGAGCGGACAGAAGCTCTGGAAGGGCCAGGGCACATTTGAACAAATTCAATAAAAACAAATAACACCGTGCTGAGTGCATTGAGCGTAGACTAAAGTAAATTTTATCAACTTTTAAATCAAATATTAAACTTTAGTTGGCGCTTCCTTTCTTTTGGCGCGTGTTCAGTCCAAACTTTCTAATAAACTTTTCTTGGTCTTTTCTTCACCCTCTCTCTATTTTTTATGGCCACTTTTTGCAAGTGCAAACTTTACATGAGGGTTTCCATTCCTGTTTTTTTTTCCCCCCACTGCAACACGTAGTGCACTTTTTTCCGACTTTGCAACGTTTTTCTAATGAGTGACGACGACGACGACGAACACCCAGCAGCTGAACCAGCCAAAGGACCTGGGCCAGAGTCAAATGTGGCTGGAACCACACAGCGGCTAAAAGAAGTGGTGAAAAACTGGAAAACGAAACTCTTGAAAAATCAGCGAAATGTAAAAGTGTTCAAAGCTAACTTTAGCGACAGTGCTTGGCAACGCATAGAAGAAAAACTGGGAGTCAAAGTCACAGATATTCCAAATTAAAGGCCGCAAAAGTTGACTTTAAGTAGAAACTGAATGAGGGGCTTTACTTGGTTGAAGAGTTTTTCTAAACAGAACTGCAGAATTACAGGGACTTTAATTAACTTTACGTTGTCTTTGTAGATTACTGCAATTAAATCATTCTTGAGGAGTTATAACTCACCATATTATTATAAGAATAAATAGAAATTAAACAAATAATAATAAAATACATTTATTATTCTTAAAATCTATAAAACCTTTGAAAATAGGCGTCAAGAATTAAGCTATTTCATATTTTAATTCGATATTTATACCATTTAAAGTCTTTTTTAAACCGGACTTCCCATTAAAGACCTCCTTTCAGCTGAGTCACTATCGTTGCAAAGAGCAATTTGTGCAAATTTACTCAAATGAATTTTACTACGCTACTAATTTGATTTCCACTCCGGTCCCAAACAAAGGCAACATGTAAAAGCTGCAAGCCAAAAAGGTAGGATGGAAAAGGCTCTCTCCTCCCCTTTCCACCGTCAAATCTGTTCACACACACACAAACACCCCAAGAGATTTCCCAATCAAGTATGCAAATAATTTAGGTGTGTGTGTGTGTGCCTTAAATGGGAAATTAAATCAAAATAAGCACATGCTGTGTCTTATATAATTGCCCGTCTTGCTCCTTTGTCCATTTCCTCATCGCTCTCCTGTCTTTAACAGGCCAATAAACGCCTTTTGTAGCCAATTTCTAAAGTCATTCGTCCAGCATTTATGGCTCTTTGTGTGGTTGTTGGTTTTTCCATAAGCTGATTGCAGTTATTATCATCAGGAGGCAAACAAACATCCACAGCACCGTACAGGCCAATTATTATGTAATTAAACTAAAACAATAGGAAGAATTAGTGCGCTTGAACGATTTTCAAATACCTTCCAAGACCAGAACCTAACCATTGTTGTTCTTGATAAATGCTCTGCCTCAGGATGAAAAGGATTTTAAAGCTTTAAGAATAGAGAAAGTTAAACGGAAATTTGACAGGAAAATAATATTTAAAATTCGTTTGGAAAATGTGCATAATTTTAAGGTATTTTATAAGCTTAACTTTCAGGGTAAAGAAGTTATAAAAATAGTCAACAAAGTCCTTATTGATTTTTAAACTATGCTTTATTTTGTATCCTAAAGTTTTTTCATTAATTTTGCCTGCTTAAGGTACGCTTAAGTCAAATAAAAAATTATTCTCCTCTTTGCAAACTCCCTCCTTATGCTTTCCATTTTCCGTTTAAAAATGGTGCATTTTGCAGTATCTTAAACGAAATCTGCACAGGTGACAGGCAATGGAGAAGGACTTACCTGAACCACTCCCCTTTGACTTTTCCGCCACGCCCTGGCTGGCTAAAGAAAACAGCATCTGGCTTTAAATTGAAGTTCATTATTGCAGCACATTTTAAATTCTTTGTAGGGAAATTCTTTTCATTTCCCAAATAGATTCCCTTGGTATGAAAATTCTTGCTGCATCGTTTCCTTTGGTAAACAATGCACAGTTTTTTTTATGGCAACATTAAAGTTAACAATACCACGAATATCGGTTGGCTAAGCTTTTTCTGTGTACATTTCAATTGGCTAAATTTAGTCGACTTCGGCTTGCACAATGCCGCAATGAGAACAAAACAATGGGGCAACTTTACGGGTTAAACAAATAAAATAACAAGAAAGGAAGTTTAACTTTGGGAAACGGACTTTGAATACCCTGCTGTTAAATTATGTGATATAATTTTTATAATAAAAAGTAAATAGAAATATAGAAGAAATCTATAAGATGAACTAAGCCCATCTTTCACTACTTAATTGTTGAAAAATTATCCTACAGATATATTCATTACAGTTTTCTAGGCATAGGTATAAATACTTCACAAGAGTATTTAAATAGACCACGTTTTTTCAATGTTTTGAAATTCACAATTGCGTGCAAACAAAATAAAAGAAACGAAAAAGTTGTGTAACCACAAATCAGGCGGTAAAAACTTTCTGGGCCCTTTTTGCACGTGCAGCATCCATAAATTCCAGCGCACAAATTAAGTTGTACGAAAAGAAAAGGCGGTGTGTGGGGCAGGAAAAGCGGTGGGAAAAGTCTGCGGAGTGGGTGTGGCAACCAATCAATGGCTGCGCCTTCTGTTGCATAAATTAGTGGCGGCACGTGATCAGGCAGGCGCAAACTTTTAAGTACAGTTGTCGCACTACACTTCAGTTAGGCTCCCCCCCAGTCCCTCTACTCCACTATTATGCCATTTATTTTCAATTAGGAATATAACAACTAAAAGCTTGTCCATAAGCCAAGTTTACGAGTATGTTGGTCAACATAACAAGTGCCCAGGGAGTTTGTGTGTAATTTAGTCCTCGTGAAAGCTGTAAGTTTGACTTAGTTTGTACTCTCCATTAGTTTATTTATTAGGTTTGAAGTGGCCTTTTAGTTAATTTAAGTACATTAATCTAATTAACTGTAATAAGGTTGCCTAGATAATACTAAGAGATAGGTAGAGATAGATAGGAGTACATT